GGGTCCGCGCCGGAGCCACTGCAGCTCATCAGGCCGGTGGGAGAGGCGGCGAACAGAGCCGCTTCCGCTTCCGCTCACGTTACGCACCACCAGGGTGACGTCAGACGCCTCGCGTTCGCCCCGCCCAGGCCTTGACCGCTCGGGCCCTCAGGCTTCTCGCCTGCTGGTTCGCTTAAAAGCCCGTTAGATGAGACGTCCAGGGGCGGAGAGCGGACCCTGCAGAGCGCGCCGCCCGGGACGCTCCACCTCCCGCGCCGCCGTACTCCTAGGCTGTTCCGCCGGGTCCGGAACCGTGGAATGTCGAGGACTCTCCTGCGCGTCTGGGACCTTCGTTCAGCCTGACTGCTGAAGACCTTACTTTGGGCTCACCGCCCGGCACCCCTTGACCACCGGTTGCCTGCCAGTCGGCATCATTTCTACTTCCCGTATTCATCCTTTTAAGGGTTCGAAGTGGAGGTGGAAAGCGTGCCCCGCCCCGCCGCCGGCTGCCAGGAGAGCGGGCTGCCGCGGAGCGCGCGGTGCTGCGCGGGCGGGAGGAAGGGGCTGCGCCCGGGTAAGCAGCGTGCGCAGAGTCCCAGCGAGGGCGAGAGCGCGGGTCTCAACGGAGCGAACATTTATTCAACTCCTATTTGCCAATCCTAAGCTAGGGGCTTGGGAACACAAAGTTAAATAAAACAAGGTTCTCGTTCTCTGAACACTACCCGTCTTGGAAAGGGAGGCAAACGGGTCAACTGGCAATTTCAATACTATGCGGGAGTTACCATACTAGAGGTAGACACAGAGTGTGCAGTGCAAGAAAACGAAGGGAATTAACATCTGCTGCCCACTCTATCAACTTTATTCCACTTGATTAGTCACTGATTATTAGGAGAGGCAGGTATAGCCTTTTCCCCACTTAACAAGTGAGAAAAAGGCTTAGGGAGATGAACTTAGTTGCCCAAGGCTCTCCGCTAGTCTATATTAGAAACAACAGTCAAACAGATCTGGCTTCAAAATTCTAAGATTTTTTGTGCCATACCAAAATCAAGTAGCTTCAGGGAGCCAACAGGTTCACAAGAGAAGGTGGCTTCTAAACTGAGTCTGGAAAGAATGCTTGAAATCAAACAAGCAAAGGGGAGTCAGGGGTAGTGTTAAGGGCACAGCATATCTTGAGCACAAGTGAAAGAATATGTTTCAGGGGAGAGCAGGGGAGGATAAACAATTTGTTACTCAGGAAGACATAGCCAGGAAGGGATCCGGTGTGTGCGTCATGATAGGAAGCCTGAACTTCATCCAATAATCTTGGAAGGATCTTACTCAAGTAAATGGCTTGATGTGATTTTCATTATGCTCTGGAAGATGGTTTAGGGAAGGGCAGGGAGAAAGGGGATTTTTTTTATGAGCCTATAATTCAGAGAGAGAATGTGCCTTTAAGCTAATGTAGAAGCAGTGGAGAAAGAGTGAAGTAGATGACTTCTAGATTTACATAAGAAATATAATTGGCAGGACTTGTGGGTTGAGAAAGATATATTTGAGAGGTAAAATCAGTAGGACTTGTTTATTGAAGGGGGAGGAGATGAAGGAAATGGGAGTCTAGAATGACAGCTCTCTGGCTTGCTTGGAAGCAGCATAGTATCATTTATCAAGAAGAAACAAAAGAGAACAGTTTGGGATTGGGAAGGAGGAAGAGAGATGAAGTGCCGAGAACGGCACATCTTGCATTTGAGGTATCAGTCACTGTTGGATAGAAAGTCTGATTTAGTGAGATGGTGATGCTGTGGATGCCAATCTTTGATTTGTTCCAGGCGACAATGGGTAGAGTGAGAAGAGCAAAAGACTAAGGATGCAGAAGTGAAGTACACCAACATTCAGTGAGGAAGCAGAGAAGGAGAAGGAGGAAGGGGAAATGGTCAGGAAAGAAGTGAAGTCCTAGGAGCTAAGGAAAGAGAGGGAGTGGACAAGTACGACAGAGGGCCCTAAAGCAAAGGTTGGGAAGCATGTACTTGATGAAGCAGCGGGGAGGCCACTGTTTCTGTGTCAGGGGAGGAAAGAGTAAAAAAGGGAAGGCGGAGGTCTCATTACGATAAATTGAGACGCAAACACAAAGTAAAATCATGTACACAAACAATGCAGACAACCCTTTGGAAAAGCCTGGTTGCAAAGAGAAAAAAGGAATGGGGGGGTGAGGGGTGGGGGTGGGGATGCTCCCAAACAGTACTGGTTATAGCAAATGTAGAGGAACCTGAGGCAGGAGTAGGGAGACCTGAGTATGATGGAGCAGGGGAGGGTTGGGAGTCAAGTCATTCTCATAGCACTTCAGGGTCAGGGAGACAAGCTGTCTGTAGCAGTCAACAGGTGAGGGGACAGCAGTGCAGAATAAGGAAACTAGCTGCCAGCTGTGGGGCAGGGGACAGGCCCACCCTCCCAGCAGGAAAGGGTCAAGGGTTGAGTAATATCTTCAGCAGAGCTGGGAAGTTGGGTGTTCCCCAGCCTGTCACAGGATCCCAGCCAGGGCCAGAGCAGAAACCCTGACCCTGTACCTCTTCATTCAGACAAGACTCATGGCAGCCATGGGTTACCTAGGGATAAAGTGGGCATCAGATCTGGGCCTGCGAGTACCAGTACTAACAGACGACACCCCCTCACCCTGTCTTCACATCCCAGGGACTATCCTATCCCATCAGAACTGCTCTCTTAGCACTCCCCATACTTTATGAAAAAGTCCACACACCTCCCTTCCACACTCACATCAAAGAGTCCTGCCCCATGCTGCTGGTAGAGTCTTGGGTTGAGAAAGCCAAGAGGTGGGTGGCCACTGAGGATTCTGTGTTCATTTATCAGGGATAGGATCCCTCCAAACACTGGAGTAGAGGCCTGCAAGGATGAAGGTGCAAAGAGAAATTAGGTGTTCAGAGTGACTGGACTTTTGGGGAGGGATGTTTGAAAGGATCACAGGTCTCTGGGGAGTCAGGGGTTCTGGGTACAAGGTCTTGGGTACAGGTTGAAGATAGTTCCTGAAGGTTTGAGGCCTGGCTGATTCTCACCGAAGTGCCAGACACCCATGGAATAGGCACGCGGTTGCTGACCACCCAGTAGCCATCAGAGAGGGCAGCCACATCTGGGTAGGCACGTCCGCTGGCATTGAAGTAACTGGATGGTGGCAAGTGGGGGCTGGAGCTCAGGAACTTGGCTACAGCTTCCTCCTGAAAGGCATTGTTGAGCGAGTATGTCCCCTGAACTGAGGATTCTTGACCTCCCGCCTCCATTCCCATCCACAAACATACACATACCTGGTATGAAGGTCGTGGGAACACATTGCTAAAGCCACCACCACTGATATAGTCAACAATCTCACTTGTGACTCGGAAAGGATTCTGGAAGGATGTGCCTCCCACCGTGGTGACGTAAGGGCTGAGGGCAGAAGACAGCACTCAGATTGTAGGGGTCCTAAGGGTACCTCCAAAATGGGTGGGAATGGCCTGGGTGTTGCTGGAGGGCCTAGACTCTGTGGGGAAGCATGTAGGTGGGAATAACTAAAGTTCTGAGCCCTGAAGACTTGGCCTGAGGTGACTGCATACTTTTCCCACAGAACACCCACTAAATCTTCCACTAAAATGCCTGGGGACTGAGGAAGAGAAACGCTGGGAACTGTGTCCTACTCAGGAGACTTGGGGCCTGGGACCTCCAACCAGGGCACGTAAAGCTGAGGCTGAGCCATAGGAGCACCTGGTGGGGTCAAGGCAAAGGTTCCAGGTCATGGGGCCACAGATGAAAGGTTGGTGATCACAATTTAGTGGTGAGCTGGGGTGCTTACCTGGAGGCAGGGAAGCTGGGACGGAACTGGTGTCTTCCAGAGGTAGACCAACACCCAGCCCCACTGTCACCTAGGAGAGAGACCAAGTTTAGCATTCAAATTAATTAGTGAGAGCTTGGTATGTAGGTTTGGTTGTCAGAGACAAAATTGAAATTCAAGTGTTAGTCATTACTGCAAGAAGTCAGAGATTAGAGCTCAGGTCAGTGGTCCCTGTTAAATTCAGATTATGAGTCAGACATCAGGATCAGGAGTCACTGTGGGGTTAGAGCTCTCAGGTTGGGTGGGGGTGGGGGGGGTGTCTAAGTTTCCAGTAGGAGGTCACCTGAGGCAAAAAGCAGGGTAAGACCCCGAGCAGCAGCCTTCATGAACTCAGTGTTGACCCTCTGGATGTAGGCACTGCTGAGGGAGTCCTCGTCGTCTCCGTAGCTCGCCGTGTGCACAGATGGCAGGGCTGACTCATTACTGAGCAGCAGGAGCCACTGCAGGAAGGGCTCCTGTGACTCATGCCGGCCTGCATTTTTTGTGGGTAGGGGAGCACAATGCAGTCATTTGGTGGGTTGTCAGGATCTCCCTCTAGTTCATGGGATTCTCTTGGGGGAGCAAAGATCACCACTCACCCCTGTCCCTCTCCCCACCAACCAATCCCCTTGGCAGTACCAGGGTTACTGTAGACCCAGGTGGAGATGTTGGCGCCAGTACTCATCAGGTACTGCACATCTAGACTGGCCTCCAGTCCGGCCCGGCCCCGGCCTTGTTGTCCCACCACACGGGCTACTGATTCCTGGTGTGCAAAGTTCCCGCCAAAGAGATGCATGAATTCAGCCAGGTCTGAGTCATGGAAATACTGCTCCAGGAACTATGGAAGAAATCAAAGCAGATATTATGGGTCAGAGGACACAGCCCCAAGGGTCAGGGCAGGGGATACCATCCTAGATCACAAGACAGGGGATAAGAGCACACCCTTGGCTAGTCAGGCTCCCTGGGGAGGCTTCAAGGACCCTAGGGCTCTTGCATGGCTCACCTGGGCACAGGCTTGGCTGTTGTTGGTTGTGCCAGAGCCCACGTCTTGTGCTGTCAAGTTGTATCGCTTACGGATCACGGATGGGGTCACCCCCAGGTGCAGGCCAACAGTCCCTGCCACCTGTGGCTCAGGGCGTTGCCTCAAGGAAGATATAGGGGGAAAGCGGTGCAGCCCCCCCACTGTGGGGAGGAGATCAAGTTTGAGGAGATCTTTTAGACTCCAATCCCCACTTTACTGCTGATCACCCCAACCTCCCCCATGGCATCTAAATTTCTCCAGCCCCTGCCTCTGCCTGCCCCAACCCCACCAACCCCACTGGGTGTTACCAAAATCCACATGGGGGGCCAAGGCCTTCGGGAGCTGGTAGGGATGTGGGGACCTTACAACATGGGTCTCTGCAGGTCCCCCCACATAGCGATGAAACTCAGACCCAGAGAGCAGCAGCTCTGCCTGTCTGGAGGTCAGAGATCAGAGAACAGAAGTCAAAAAGCATAAAACAGAGCAGAGAAGGCTGCATGAGTGTCACTGGGCAGTTAGTTGTCTACCCATGCGTTAGCTCTCACCCAGAGCCGCCAGCCAACTCTTACCCATAGCCACCAGCAAGCTCTCAGCTCCCTCCCATTGGGGTGACTAGTCTCCCTGATGGAATGATTGGTACCCTCCGTGGGGCAATCATTCTCTCACCGGACACTCATCCAGCAGGTCAGAAAGTCCTGTGTGATCACTGTGTGGCAGTTCCGGGCTCCAGCCGCCAAGAGCCATTTTTGGACTGTGTGGAGGGTCAGTGGTGATGGCCGGACCAGTTCAGCCACATCCTCCAGGGTCAGGTATTTTCCTGCAGGGATTCAGTAGAAGCTCTTGCCTTCATTCATTGCTTTTCCAAGTTTCCCTTTTTGGACCTCAACCAGGAGACATCAGGAGCCTGGAGAAGGGTCTTGAGGGACTTTACAGCAAAAAAGGCTGTGCAGGTGCAGCTTATACTTAGGGATCCAGAAAAGCTGGAGAGAGTTGGAATGCCAAGGCCAGGAAAATGGATTTATCCTAGAGGCTACTAGGTTGCAAATGTGGCACCACAGCATGTATTGCAATGATCATGAAAAACAAATGAGGTTCTTAAATTAAAACTGTCCATTTTAAGCTTATCTCCCATAACAGTTTTCAAAACTTTTAAAGCCAATTATAAGATGACATCTAATTTAGCTCAAGTTTTCATACTTGCTGATTTTAAGCTTAACGTGATGGTGAGTCACTGTTTTCCTGCATGGAGCCATGCACGCTGGTATTTGCCTCGTGGGTTCACCTGAGACTGCCTTCCCACTCCTCTACCCACCCTGAAGGGCTGCAAGCAGGGGAAGGACACAATCCAGCTTGATCATTGGAGCAAAACATCAACAGTTTGAGAGAGTAGGGAGTGGGGTGAACGGGAAGAGAGTCACTGGGCTGGGCAGCAGCCAGATGAGAGAATAAGCTGAGTTTGTGGCAACAAGGGATGGTGAGAAGTGGACGACTCCAAAGGCTATTTCAGAGTTAGAAGTGGCAACCTCAGCATCTGAGTGGAGGAAGTGGGACTGGATTTGAGGAATTTGAGCTGATGAGCACCTAGATGTGCGGACAGTCCCCTGCTTACGATTTTTCGACTACAATGGTGCAAGACAAGTATGTATTCTGTAGAAACCAAATTCTGAATTTTGATCTTTTCTGGGGCTAGCGATATGTGGTATGATACTGTCTCCTGATGCTGGGCAGTGGCAGGAAGCTGTGGCTTCCCAGTCAGGCACGGGATCGTGAGGGTAAACAACTGGTACTCTACCAGTTTTTCGGATATTGTGTTCTGAGCACATTTAAGGCAGGCTAGACTAAGCTATGATGTATTAAAAGCATTTTTGATTTAACAGTATTTGGAACTTATGATGGGTATATTGGGATGTAACATCCATTGTAAGTCAAGGAGCATCTGTACTAGATGCTACTTCCCCATTTGTCTGGTAGCTGGTAAGAAGTAGAGTCATAGGATCCAGATCTGATCACAAAGCCTGTGCTTTTTTTTTCCTTTTTAAGTTATAGTCAACTTTATTCTTTTTATTTTTAAATTGAGCCCTGGCCCGTTTGGCTCAGTGGCTAGAGCCTCAGCCTGCAGACCAGAGGATCTAGGGTTCCATTCCTAGTCAAGGGCACGTACCTGGGTTGCAAGTTCGATCCCCAGATCCGGTCGGGGCACATGCAGGAGGCAACCAATTGATGTCTCTCTCTCATGTCCATGTCTCTCTCTCTCTGTCCTCCCCTCCCTCCCTTCCAATCTCTGAAAAAAAAATCCTCCAGTGAAGATTAACAAAAATGAAATAGATTAAAAAAAATTGATTTTAGAGAAGGAGGCAGGTGGAGAGAGAGAAACATGATGTGAGAGAGATACAGCAAGCGGTTGCCTCCCATGTGCGCCTTGACCAGGGATCAAAAGCAACCTAGGTATGTTTCCTGAACAGGAACTGAACCCTCGACCTTCTGGTACACGGAGATGACGCTCCAACCAACTGAGCCACACCAGCCAAGGGAAAGTCTGTGTTCTTAGCCACATTCACTTTTAGGTTTCTAGCCTGATGAACACAAGTGGAAATGTTTTTGGGGAAAAAATGAGTTAGTTTTGGACAGTTTAGCTTCAGTTCACTTTTTTTTTAGAAGCTCTTCAACGAGAGCCACTGTCATTCATCTGCCCCATATCCCCCCGTTGACAGGCACCACGAGCACGGCCCTAACGTAATCTGCACTGTTCCAGGCTCAGCCCAGCCCTGTGTCCCTGCACTGCATCCCACATCCCGTCCCTAGTCCCAAAAGGCACCGTAGCGAGGAGAGCCAGGATCCGACACAGCCCGAACCAGTTCAGACAGTCTTTCCAAGTTCTGCTGTCTCAGGGCAAAGGTGAGACTCAGCTCTTCCTCAGGGTCCACACGGCCCAGGGACGCCCAGCCTGGGGGCAGCCTGTCAGGTCAGGAACATGGCCTTTGTTAGGGCGGCGATGGGAAATAGTCACAGAAGGTTCGGGATTAGGGGCTGAGACCTTGGGTAGGATCCCAGCTGTGCATGTGGCTCAGAGGAAGTGGATGATAGGTGACAGCCTGGGAACTTGGGGTTGAGACTATGCAGCGAGTACCAGGAGCTGGTGAGGGGGTGAGGGAGGCTAGGACCAGGACAGTGGGTGTGGGACAGGGCATATGGGGAAGGGGGTAGTCAGTGCTAAATCAACTCACGTCCGCCGCTGGTCGGGCTCCGGGCTGTAACTGCATTTGCCCGCAATGAGGAGGGCTAGGAGCCCTAGGAGGCTGCAGGGGTGGCAGGTGGGTTTCAGAGGGAGCTGGCCAGTCATTGTAGCCCCACCCTCCAACATGTACTCCCTCCAATGTGATCTCCTTCTCCCAGGCCCTCCTAATTTCTCACCAGGGTCGCAGTCCCATTCCGTCTCTCAGCAGATCTTTTGTCATGTGACAGATCACATGAACCCGAGTCTATTACAACCACCCTTCAGCCTAGAAACTGGTGACGTGAGGGCTCCTCCCCCAAGTGGGCGGTCCCGAATACTGGGGGAGCGGGTGGGGCTGCTACTTGGACCCTCTGTGGCCCATCAAGCCCTGGGCTACCAGAGTCCAGTCAGGACTCACCACAAGGTGTAGGGGGGCTTAAGAAAGAAGCCCTAGAGGTCCACAGACCCAAAGACCTGGGTTCTTCCTAGCTGTATATTAAACAAGTGACCTAACCTCTCAGAGCTCAGGTTTCTTTACTTAGAATATAAACTGTTATATTAAAAGTGGCCTTTCTTATAGGGCTGAAGTGAAAATTTACAGATAAAATAGGCAAATCGCTCAGAAGAGTCTGATGGCAAAGGCTCAACACATTTGAGCTCCTAGTGCATGTGAATATATAGTGGCTCCAAAAAAAACACATAAACCCTTGGCTGCTCCTGTATCTACCCCTACCTCCTTGAAGACCCTAAGGCCTAGAGCTGACCATCCCTAAGGTCCCTCCTCACCCAAACAATCTCTCTCTTGGTCACTGTCCTTCTTCCTGGCCTCCTGCCTTAAAGGGAAAGTTCAACTACAGAGAGATGGCTCCCAGTGCCATTGCCACCCTGGGTGCCAGTGTCTACCACCCCTCTGTGCCTCCTGAGGTGTCCACAATGTGCCAGGTGCCTTCCAATCCCTCTGGCCCCCCACAGAACTGAGCCAGACGCTGGATACAAACTGCAGTTTATTAAGGCTCCAGAGTGAGAATTGGCACTTGGTTCTGGGAAGGGGCAGGGGTGTAAGTGGAACCCAAAGAAGCTGGGCCCAAACAGGATGGAGGACCTTGCCCATCCCCCCTACCCCCAATAAATAAAGTCTCAGCTCCATCTCAGGGTGCTGCACAGGGCAGAAAGCCCTCACTGAGGAGAACCCAGGGCTGCTGCCTCCTTCATATTTCTCCCCACATTGGACCTGGCCACAGGTCAGTGCCACAGGGCCTCTGTGGTGCTGGTACTCCGATGGGGCCAGGGTTAGATATGTGAGCTGCTCCCACTGGAGAGTTTGGGATGGGGAGCTGGTTTCCCCTGTGGCCAATCATGGTCCGAGGCTGCCCAGGGCAGGCTCAGATGGGGCCTGCATTGGGGACACTGTGGGTGTCCCAGGTCGGGGCCCAGCCTGGGCCACAGTCAGATGTGCAGCTCCGTGTCATCAGGTGGCTCCAGGCCGGACTCTGCGCTGAGTGCTGAGGCTGAGGGGCCCTGGGCCACCCCAAATGGCGAGACAACAGGTGAGCGAGCAGCCAGAGGAGACAGTGAAGGTGAGAAGCTGGGGGACATGGCAGCTGAGGACAGGGAGCCTTCATGGCTGATGGGGGAGCGGTGAGAGGCCGGTGGGAAGATGGCCCGGGTTGCAGCTGTGCTGGCTGGTTTGGGGGGCACAGACTTAGCTCCTGGGTGGGCCACGGCAGTGATGAGGGGTGGTGGGTCAATACGGGGAGCTGGGGGACATGGCCGAGCCTCATCCTTGAGCCGGGCAATCTCTGTGAACACGCTGGCCAGCGGCTGGAACTGAGGGCACCAGCTCAAAAGGTAGTCCCAGTTATAGCTGCCCCGGAGCTCTTCCTCTCCAGCTACTATGGCCGTCAGTGCACCTGCCACGCATGGCTTGCCATCTGCTGGGAAGCCATAGTCCCCAGTGGGTGCAGGGCTCAGGCCACAGCCCCCCAGGAAGGCCGTGGCAGTGGCTGGGGGCCCCTCTTCTCGGTACAGAGTGGCTCCTGCACCTGGCAGCAGCAGCCCTGCCTTTCGGCCCTTATACCAGGTGTCGGGGGCAGGTGGCTCGCAGGATGTGTCACTCAGTCCATCTGCATCCTGCTGAATGCCTGAGTCGGGGCCACGAGCAGCCAGGGAGGAGGCCACACTGGCTACACGGGGGAACTCGTTGATCATGCGGATCTCGTCATCCTCTGCAGCCTCTGCTGAGCCTCGGCCACTTGAATGGGAAGGGTCCAGGGAGCCACCCCGGGGGTAGGGACCTCCAGCTCCTGGCCCACCATAGCTGGGGAGAGTCTGGTGATACAAGTGCTCTGAGGGTGGTGGGCTGGGTGGCTCCCGGCCCAGCTTCTGCAGAGAGCCACTGGCCAGGGGTGCTGCCTGTGACATTGGGCCAGGTGCTGCCTCTGCCTTGCGGCTACGGGCCCGCACCAGCCCAAGGACCAGGGCCGCCAATGCAAGTACCACCACCACTCCCAGGGAGGCGGCCACAGCCCCCACCAATAGCAGGTTGAGGTCAGGTGCCAGGCCCAGGGCAGTGTGGGTGATATCCACAGTCACGGGCACTGTGGCACTCCTTGAACCTGGCAGAGGCCCCCGTGCGACCACTTCCAGCCTCAGCTCTCGTGGTGCCTCACGCCGGGTCCGGCCCCCACCCCCAGAGGGGCCTGTCCCACTGCCTGGTGCTCGGCTGTCCACCCGCAGGTACAGGGCACCGGTAGTCTGGTTGATACCAAAGTAGGGAGAAGAGGTGGCAAGGGAATAGAGCACCAGGCCGTCGGCACCGCCATCCTCATCTGTGGCCTGCACGTGACCCAGACTGTGGCCACGCCGGGCGCCTTCTGGCACTTGGAAGTGGAAAGCTGGAGCCAGGAATACTGGGTCATACTCATCCTCACCAGTCACCAGCACTGACACAGTGACCGAGGCTGAGAGGTTCCCAGCATCGGCAGCACCCACCAGCAGCTGGAAGCTTCCTGTGTGCTCATAGTCAAAGGCCACTCGTGCCCGCAGCTCTCCTGTTGAGCTGTTCAGTGCAAATGCCTCGCGTCCCTCAGGCCCAGGCCCAGCCTCCAACAGGCTGTAGCGCAGCCTCCCAAAAGCCCCGGCATCCCCATCAATCGCATGCAGAGTGGTCACAAGGGTGCCTGGAGGCTGGTTCTCCGCTAGGCTGGTGCTGAGCAAGCTCAGTGGGAAGGTTGGGCCATGGTCATTCACATCCTGGACCTCAATGGTCACTGGTGCCAGTGCAAAGTGTGCCCCCACAGGGTCAGCAGCCTGAACTACAAGCTGATGTAGAACCTGGGTCTCACAGTCCAAGGGGTGGGCCAGTCGCAAGGCACCCGAGCTCTCATCCAGCTCAAAGAGCCCTGAAGGGTCACCCGAGGTGAGGGTGAAACGCACGAGGCCATGAAGGCCAGGATCAGCGTCAGAGGCCTCCACATGCAGCAGCTCGGCTCCAACAGGCGTGTCCTCGGACACTGCCACGCGGTACGATGCTCGGGTAAAAACGGGTGGGTTGTCGTTGACGTCCAGCACAGTGACGGTGACCGGCACCGCTGAGCTGCGAGGTGGCTGCCCCCGGTCAGCTGCAGCCACAGTTAGATTGTACTGGGTTAAGCTTTCAAAGTCTAGAGGCTCAAGCAACACCAGGCATCCCAGTGCCTGGGGGCCTAGTCCACCACTCTCCCCAGCTTCAGCAAGACGGGGTTCTAGCTGGAAGACTCGTCCCCGGTTGCCACTGATGATGCTGTAGTCCACAGTGGCATGGGTGCGGCTTCCATCGGCATCTGTGGCCTCCAGGGTGAGCAGGGTGGAGCCAGGGGGCAGATCCTCGGTCACAGCCACACGGTAGTGGGGCAATGTGAAGCTCGGGGCGTGGTCGTTCTGGTCCTGCAGCTGTACATGCACTGTGGCTCGAGCTGCCCGGCCTGGCATCCCATGATCTCGTGCTTCCAGCACCACGTCCACCACTCCTAGCCCCTCATGGCCCAAGGCCACTGCTCCTGCTGTCGTGAACAAGGTCCCTGAGATGAGAAGGGAATGGAGAGAAACATGCATTCAGCAGAGGCTATGGGTGAGCAGAGGAAGTGACCCTTCAGGGCCTAGGAATGGCTTCAGAAGTCAGACTCCAGGGAACAGCCTGTGTGCTGGGAGATTATGGGATGGCCTCCAGGATTCAGGGAACAGCTTCTAGACATGCAGCCAGGACAGGGTTTATAATAGAGACAAAGGAGGAAACGTCCCCCTGGGTTAGAGATCTAGGAGTTAAGAGTTCCAGCAAGAAATTCTAGGAATGAGGTCGGAATGTGACCCAACACAGTCAAAGATAAGAAGTCAGACCCGGGAAGGACGCACCATTGTTGGGGTCAACACTGAAGCCCTCAGCAGGGGAAGCCAGGTGGTAGGAGATGTGACCATTGGCACCTGAGTCCCGGTCAGTGGCAGCGACGGAGAGAATGGCACTGCCTGGGGGCGTGTGCTCAAGCAGCGTCACCTGAGGTGTGAGGATAAATGTTTATGGCCATGCTGCCCTGCTGCCCATTCAGCCTGTGTTCTGAAGGTCGATCCCAGGAGTCCTACTTGGCATCCATTCTAGCTTAGAGCCCATACTCCTTCGTATTTGAATTGCCCACCTTTCTCCATTTTGGGGCATGGGACAAAGAACCTGAACACAGTACCCAGGACTTGCAAGACTGGTTTGAGATGGGACTTCCCACCCCCAGAGCTCCATCCCCAGGTCAGTTCTAAGGTCCAGCCCATCTCAGACACTTCTAGCCTCCTCATTTCTCTCCAACACGAACAAGCCTGGGTCCAGGTGTGGGGACATCCAGGGGCACTGGTACCTGGTAGAGGCTCTGTGAGAAGACAGGTGCATTGTCATTGACATCCTCTACGAGCACCGTGAGGTTGGCACGGCCCTCGTGAGGCCCATCATGTGCCAGCAGCTGCAGATGGTAGCGGTCACGCTGCTCAAAATCCAGGGGGCCTGTGAGGGAGACACGGCCTCCATAGCGGCCTACGCTGAAAGGATCCTGGGGTCCAGATGAGCTCAGTACATACCACAGCACGGGTCCAGAGTCCACGTCATTCCCTGTGACCTGTGCAATCTCTGAGCCCAATAGTGCATCTGCAATACACGGGACAAATGTGTTCAGCATGGTCCAAGACACTTCTGAAGCCCCAGAGTGGGGAATAGTGCCGTCCTATCACCCTTTGTACCTCTTACTTTACCTAGCCCTCACCTTCAGATACTCGGAGCTCCCAGGGCTGGGGGATGGTAGGGCGATTGTCATTGGTGTCGATGACCATCACTGTCAGGGTAGCTGAGCCCACCAGGGCTGGGCTTCCTCTGTCTGTGGCCATCAGGACCAGCCTGGACACAATCAGGTGGAGCATAATTGGGGGAGGGGTCCGGGGATAAGGGAGAACACTGGGCAGGGCTAGAGAGACTCAGGATGTGGCCTAGGGATTGAGGGAAATTCAAGGAAGGGCTTGAAGTTGGATGGACCCAGACAGGATGGGGTGGTGCGGTCTATAGAGCCAGGGCTCACCGTGTTTCTGCCCAGATCTCACGGTCCAGAATGGCTGTGGTAGTGATAGTGCCCGTGGCTGGGTCTACATGGAACAGTCCCCGTGCTGGCTGGGATGCAGCCAGACTGTAGGAGATCTGTCCACTGGGGCCTTGATCCAGGTCATCTGCCTCCACCTGGTGGAAGTAGGAGGCTGCTGGCACTGACCTGGGCACAGACAAGTCTGACCAGCCCTGCCCCACATCTTCCCATCATATCCCATACCTGCAGCAGGGGCCCCTCTAAGGGCCTTGACTCAGGCAGGAAGGCCACATAGTGGGGCTGTAGGAAGCGGGGAGCATTGTCATTGGCATCTTGCAGGGTTAGGGTCAGCACAGAGAAGGCAAAGGCTCCTCCGCTCTCCGCCTGTAGCACCAGTCGCAGCCGTGGATTTGCCTCAAAGTCCAGCCCCTCTGCTGAGCGAACTGTGATGGCTCCTGGGAGGAGGCAGAATGCATCGCTGACAGTCTCTTCCTTGCCCTGAAGCCTCCCTCTCTGAGGGCCTCCTACTCAAGGGCAGCCCCTCCCCCACCAGCGCCTCCTTGGGCCCAAAGGGGAGCTCCTCCAGGAGCCTGTCCCTTCACAGGGCCCGCTGCTCCTGCCCCTTACCTGTGTTAGGCTGGATGGAGAATGTCCCTTTCTCATTCCCACTGAGAATGCTGTAGGTGATTGGTCCGTTTGAGCCCCCTGCGTGGACAGCCTTGGGGGAGGCAATGGGAGTCCCTGCAGAGAGGATGGTATTGGTTGGACTGTGAGCACTAGGCTGAAGAAGTTTGGGGGTCACTTTTAGTGAGTAACCTCAGCCCATGCAGGGGTATAAGGCTGGGAGACGTGGCCAGAACCCACCTGGGGGTGCATTCTCACGGAGCACAGCTTCACTACTAGCACGGGGAAAGCGAGGTCCACGTTCAGATTCCCCCTGTAGCCCAACAATGACCACACCGGTGGCAGAACGGGCAGGGCGGCCAAGGTCAGTGGCCACAATGAAGAGCACACGATCCCGGAGGCCCAGGGTTACAGGGGAGCGGGCCACACGGATTTCACCGGTGTAGGAGTCCACAGAGGTGCCAGGAGGTGGTGTGCCTGCCAGCCGATAGAGGATGGAGGCATTGGCACCAGCATCACGGTCTTCGGCTCGCAGAGTGGCCAGAGCCAGGGTGGGGGTGCTGAGGCTGGGGCCTGGGCGGGGCAGGCGCAGCCTCAGGGGACTGGTGGGGAAGGTGGGTGCATGGTCATTAACATCACGCACTGTGATGGTGACAGGTACCGTGGTGCTCAGGGGCCCAGCAGCTGCACCATCCACCGCACTCACGGTAAAGGTGTAGCTGGGACACTGCTCTCTATCTAGGGCTGTGGCTGTGCGCAGTTCCCCAGAGCTAGGCTCCAGCAGAAAGGCTCCTGCTGCACCTGCACCCAGATAGTAGGTCACATAGCCATTGGCCCCAGCATCAGGGTCATGAGCCTGCAGCTGCAACAGGAGAGTCCCTGTAGGTGCATCCTCAGGCACCTCCACAGAGTAGGCAGGCACAGGAAAGGCTGGGGCATGGTCATTGGCATCCAGCACTGTCACTGTCACAAGCAGAGTGGCACTGAGAGCTGGCTGGCCTCCATCCCGGGCCTCTATCCGCAGCTGGAATGTTGGTTCCACCTCCCGGTCTAGTGGTCTCATGGTACCAAACTCCCCAGAGGCTATATCTAGGACAAAGGCTCCTGACGGATCCCCATCTGCAGAGAAGGGCATGCACACATAAACACACATGTATCAGCCCATGGGAGTGTGGCTGATTTATAGGCAATAGCAAAGAATGAGATAGAGGGGAGGGGCGGGAGAGAAAGGAGATGGGGAGAGAAAGGAGGAGAAAAACAGAGAGAGAAAGAGGGAAAATGGGAGGAAGGCAGAGAAACAAAGAGAAACACAGGTAAAGAAAGATTCTATAAAGCAGATGATCTTAAGAGTGTGGTATGGGAACTCCCCTGAGACCCTTTCAAGGGATACATAAGATCAAAACTACGTTCAGAGCAATGCTAAGACATTACATGCCTTTTTCATCCTATCTCTCAATGTACAGTGCAGTCCAGATGGTACATGGGATGACATCATCACTTGGATGGTTAATGGAATGTGTGCTGATATATTCTTGTGTTTCCTAGAATATTCTAGATAGAAAGTTTAGAACATAAATATGCTCAGAGATCCATTCAGTTTTTGCTGGCTTACCTTCAGTTACACCTGCTATAATCTTTGCAACCTCATTACTATCCAACAAATTATTTGAAACCCTAACATGCGCCTATGCAGAAATATGGCAAGTAGTATATACTTCACTGGCTTGCTTTGTAATATTTTATAATCTTCTCAGCTTTAATATCTAGTATAGTAAATAGACATACTTATATATTTATATTACATACTTATTATAATGACATATCGTACTATTATATAAACAAAAGCTCTTCAGGAATCTCAAAAATTAGGAATGTTAAGGGTCCCTGAGTCCAAAAAGTTTGAGAACAACTGCTCTACAGGGAGAGACAAGAAAGAAAAAGAAACAAAAGTTAAAAACAGAGACATAGAGGGAGATAAAGAGCTGAAGCACAGGAGACATGCAGAGACACAGACATATGCATGAAAGAAAAAGAGGGATGCACAAAGGGAAGGAAAGGAGACCCTCGCACACTGACTGAGTTGACTTAGGCCAACGTGGAGCAGGTACTGGGAAGGTTCTCACCCAGAATGCGGTACTGCAGTTGCCCGTTTGCTCCCACATCTGGGTCAGAGGCCCGCAGCATGGTAAGGGTCTGGGGGTCCTGGCCCTCGGGCACTTCCAGGGAGAGACGGGCACTCCCAAAGGTGGGGGCATGGTCATTCTCATCCTCTACAGCCACTCGCACTGTGACATGGGTCAACAGCGGGGGTGATCCCCTGTCCCGGGCATACACTGTGAGGAAGCAAAATCAGTGAGCTCCAGCCTGCTCCCATCCCAAGGAGAAATCCACACCACACAGTGTTCATATGTGTTCACCAGGTACACACACAAAACAGAAAATGTCCATCTCTCCACACCCCACAAGCACACAGGTGCCTACATGTGGACATGCACACATAAATAGACAGGTGTCAGGGATGTTATTTTTTCCCCACCATTCATGCGTGGTGCATGCAAGATATATCTTGGATTAATGGCTGTGTGACAGAAAAGACACTAAATGAGGTATCTGAAGATCTGGGTCCAGCTTTGCCATTTTCAAGCTGTGTTAGCTTGAGAAAGCCACTTCACCTCTCAGGTACTCAGTAACAATATGCTCCTCTGTTAGATGTCTGCAGTGTAATCTGAGGGAATCCTAGAGGTTACAGCTGTGACATTATGCATTTGAGAGCTTGTGCACACTGGTGACAGCCTAGAAGCAGCTGACCCTGCACTTGGCCAAACTGCTGAATCCCCAAAAGGATCCAAAAAATGTAACAGAAGCTGTGCTACAATAGGTGGCAGCTTCTAGAAGGTAATTTGGGGGTTTGCCTACGTAACATTGGAGCTTACAACGCCTCTCAGGCTTTCCGGGTCCTGTCAATGTGTACCTGTCAGGTTGATCTCCTCCTGCTCCTCCCGATCCAGGGCCCGAAGAGTTGTGAGAACTCCAGTGTCTGGGTCCAGGGAGAAGTTCTCGCCAGAGATGCCTCCATATGTCACTTGCCCATTGGCCCCTGAGGAGAGGCAGCACGGAGGGTGGTCTTTTTTTGCCCCAGTCCACCTTCTCTCAACTCCCCCGCCCCTCAAGGTCTTACCCAGGTCCGGGTCGGTTGCCCGCAGAGTTAGCAGAGATGTGCCGGGCGGGCTGTTCTCCCGCAAGAGGACGCTGTACTCCTGCTGCTGGAAAGCGGGTGCCTCGTCGTTGACGTCGGCGACGCTGACGGTGAGGAGCTGTGTGGCTGAGCGCGGCGGGGAGCCGTGGTCCGAGGCCACCACCGTCAGAAAGTGCTCAGCGCGGTGTTCGCGGTCCAGCGGCCGCACCAGGGACAGCGCTCCTACGTGCGCAGTGGAGCAGGTTGGAGGGCAATCTCCACACTCCCCCCGCATCACTCCCTCCTCGTACCGGCGGCCGGACCCCACTCACCAGAGCTCGGGTGCAGCCGGAAGCAGCCGTCCCCGCCGGCGGCCAGGCGGTAGGTCACGCGCGCGGCCTCGCCCAGGTCCGGGTCCCTGGCGACCACGTGCAGCGCCACGGGCCCAGGCGGCTGATCTTCCGGGAGGCGCACCCGCGAGGGCGAGGCGAAGGCGGGCGCGTTGTCGTTCTCATCGGTGACAAAGACACGG